AGTACCTTTACCCATTTAGTCCATCCTGCTACCCTGCTTTAAAAAAATTTTTTTTGAAAGAATCTTGAGGCATATGGCCTTTTAATCCCAGCACTCAGGGAGGCAAAGGCAGGCTGATCTCTGAGTTTATAAGCTAGCCTGGTCTACATAGTGAGTTCCAGGACAGCCTGGCATATGTAGAGAGATGCTGTCTTAAAACAACAAAGCAAGCCAACAAGCCAAACCCAAAACTCTGGAATTTTCAAAGATGATTGGTAAGCACATACGTTCCAGTGTGTGGAAAGGCTCCTCTCCAGGCAGCCTCATAGAGTGTTTCACATCTCAGTAGAGTGTTAGTTTTGAATAAATCTTGCTAGCCTGCAAAATTAATTTTCAGTTTTTGCCATCTTGAATAGGTAACACGTAATCCAGAGTTCAAAAGCTGTAAAAAGGCGTAAATCTCTCTTGCCTTCCTTGTTTCACGACAGGCACCTGCTCTGAAAGTGCCCGCTGCTGGCTGGCATTGTGACTTTTAGCTATCAGTTGCATGTACATGCTTGAAGGCACACATTGACGCCGTTCGTTAAGCGTTACAGGTAGGGCTAGTGAGATAGTGCCATGGGCAGGGCTGCTTGCATGAAGGCCTCTGATGACTTTGGTTTGATCCCTGAAACCCACAAAAGTGGCAAGAGAGAATGAACTCTGGAGAGTGGTTCTCTGACTAGCACATACAAAAGAGTATATACCTCAAACTTTCAAATGGCGTTCGCCAGGCACAGTGCTGTTCATTCACCTGTTTCAGCTCTCATCTCGGAGGCTCACTGCCTCTGTCTGCTAACCTAGGCCTAGTCCTGGAAGCTTCTGGCCTCTGCACACTCTAACGTAGGCCTACAATGTTTTCAGCCTCTGAGACTTACTGCTTAGTAACCTCAGTCTTTTTAGTTTTCTGTGAGCTCTGGGCTAGCTGGTTCAACTCAGCTATTTTGGTGAAAACCCCCTCAGCTAATTTACTCAATCTGGCTTTTCTCTCAGCCTCTGAATTGCTCAGCTTGGCTTGAAACTAACTCAAGCAATTGTTATATCCAGATCTTGGGGTCCCCAAAGACCACCAGGAGCCGGACCATGTATACGGGAGCAAAGAGTTTTTATTCAGACTTAAGCTTGGTCCCATCACCAGCACAGTGGATCAGGGAGGAGAGCTGCAAGGCAGGGTTTTTATTGGGGTTTGAGCAAGGATGGGGAATTTCCTTAGAAGTTACACGATTGGGCGATACTTAACAAAGGCACACTTGTTACAAAGCGATTGGCTGACTAACATAACTCACATTGAGCCAGCTATCTATAGGCCTCAGGAATGTTAGGTATTTCCTCACCATGAATGTTCTACTACTAGGCCTGTGGGCTGCCCAGCACAGATGCCCGTCCTGAGATAAGATTCCTTCCCATTCTTGTGGTTATCGCCAGGCTGTTTCTTGGTGGGAGATTTTATGGTCTTGTTCCTGGAATTGGTGACCTATAGCCTAGTTTTTCTTTTAAAGTTAGGCCTGGTCCTAAAATGGAGACAAAATGCAGTTTATGTCATCCTGATGACAAAATGCAGATTATGTCAAAATCTGCTCTAGTCTCCTGGCTCCTCATTCTCTGGCTCATTGGAGCTTTACCTGAGCACTTTCTCTCTCTCTCTCTCTCTCTCTCTCTCTCTCTGCAACCTGTCTCTTTATTACTGTCCTGGTAAAAACTGCTTCCTCTCTGTGCATTGCCCCTTAAGTAGCTTTCTTTTCCTTTCTCTTTGGGTGAGAGTTGGGTGTATCCTATTCTGTCAATTTTTTCTCTGATTCATTGCCTTTTCAGCCACTCAATTAGGTATCACTTTCAAACATGGGTGCTTCCTTCTACAAACTAACTTTTACTCTTCATTGTTTAGGATTAAACGCGTGTACTGCCACACCCAGACCTAAGCTTTTTTTTACCTAATACTTGCTCTATACCAAGCTGGCCTTGTATCTGCTTGCCCCTGTCTCCCGGATTAAAGTCATGTTTGTATTCCAGCCGGATTACACTGATTTAGGTCTTTGGGTGTGATCTCTTGCCAGAATAGCCATGTTCTGAATTTAAAGTTCCTCTACACAATGGTACACAGAGAAACCTTGTCTCAAACTCCTCCCCCCAAAAAGGCATTTTTGTAATTCTTGCAATAACATAATTGAGATTGGGTATGCTTGGTGACTTTCTTGGTTTCTCCATTTAGCCTTGACTGCCTGGACTGATTTTGTAGACCAGGCTGTCCCTGAACTCAAGATCCACATGCCTCTGCCTCACAGAGTGCTGTGATTATAGGTGTATACCACTGCACCCAGCTAATTTAGAGATTCTTAACAGCTTAATCTCTTGATTTATTTGTGTTTTTTTTGCTGTGAAAAATTTAAAGTGTATCAATTTACCAGTTGATTTTTCTGATGGTGCTTTGATTTGCCATGTCTTCCCCAGGTGCAAGTATAAAATAAAAGGGATCCCTGCCTCACTCTAAAATTTCAGATGTATCAAAGGGACATGCATGCACACTTGCCCGCATGCACACACAGCAGAGTGAGGCTAGGGAATTTGCAGGTCTTTGAGGATAATAATCAATGTGTCCTTTTAGGAAAGGCTCGCCATTTTCCTTTTCTTTCAAGGGAAGGGCACTAACAGCTTTCCACTACTCATAAAGATTCACAGACCATATGACATACAGCAAAAGTGGGATCAACTAAGCCTCTATGTTTTGTTGCCTTGAGAGTCAGAATAAGAACACAGGCTGAAAACTGCTGACCTGTTGGTAGGAAGCTATCAGATGTTTTGCTTTTAGACCATCCCCATACCCTTAAAATAGCAAGTGAGTGTTACATTTATATTTAATTAAAAAAAAAAGTTTGTGTGCTCCTGAGTACAAACGCACACATGCATGCGCCCTTCTCCACGATGTGTAGGGAGGTCAGAGGGTAACTTTGTATAGGTAGTTCTCACCACCTGCTATAGTGTGAGTTCTGGGCGTTATTCTCTGGTCATCAGGCTTATGTCCTTGAGGGGCAGGACATCTAAGATGCTAAGTCATCTCAGCCTCAGAGAGACTGAATTTTCTTTAGATGAGACTGACCTTGAACCCCTGATGGACCTTCCTCCACCTCTGCCTCCAGGTGCTGGGATTATGTTCATGCTCAGTTCCAGCAGGCAAAATTCACCTTTGCAGTTTCTCAACTGTGGTGCCCAGCCCAGCGGCAGGCCTGTCTGGTCGGAGCTGTGCCGCTCAGCTGAGTAGGCCTCGCAGCGCTCCCTGGTGGCAGGCGGCGGGGTGGGCGGGAGTCCCGAGCCTGTGGTGGAGGTTGGCGCCGGCCTGGCCCCCACAGCCTCCATCACGGGTGCCTGGGTCGTGCCCGATGCCGGGTTAGCTGTTCCTGTGTACCGGAGCTGGCCGAATCGCCCCCTTCACAGGACAGCTGTGCTCTGGCCCCGGGTGCCTGTATGTCTGGGCTTTTATTTTGCAGGACAGCTGACCGTATTTGCGCGTGCTCGTGGGCCAGGTCTCTCTGCAGGGCAGCCGACCTCTGGTCGCGCGTGCCCGCGGGCCTGGCCTCTTTTGCAGGACGCTGGCCCCTGTCCGCCCTAAGGACGTCCCAGAGTTTGGACTTCCGGGGTTGGCTTCCAGTTTGCTGCTTGTCACCCTTCAGGGCGTCGCCGGCCTGGGCGCGGCCCTTTAAACTTTACTGTTTTTTAAACTTTGGGGGTGTGGTCACCTTTGCATTCCTCATCCCTGCGTGGTCACTTCGGACCCGCTGGCTCCTTCTCTTCCCCTGCCTTCCAGATGCTTTGGAGTCATGAGCCGGGAGGGCGCGGGGACCCCTCGGGTGGCTGAGGTGATCCGAGGTGAGTGCCTGTGGCAGGGCCTGGCTGGCAAGGGGAGCGACCTGCTGCCTCGGGAGCCCAGTTGGCCTCCCCTCTGGGCCAGTGGCTGTGGGTTGAGGAGTCAGTTGGACCTCCTCAGCGTGCTTGTGACCCCTGTGTCCTACATCCTCTATGCTACCCCCGCCCCACTTCGCGGCTCCGGGCACCGAAGATCAAAGGTCATTTGTGGTTGGAAAGACTTAAACCCTGTCACCTATTTGTGCGGCTTCAAGGAGTTTGTAGTTGCGTTTACTAGGACAGAAGTGTAGCAGTTTTAAGAGTGGAGATGCAGTTAGAAAAGAAAGGCTTAAATTACCATTTGAGGGAAAGGACATCCCAGCTTACATTGTTTCTTAACACCAACAAACTGGTCTGAAAAGAATATATGTATTTCAAAGTCTGTGCTTGACTTTTGCCGAGTTTTGGGTATAGGTACCTGATTACTGTTAGATATTGCCTTTTTCTGGGGGTGGGGCTAATTGCAGAGCTGTTGACCCTTAACTGCCCTCGTTGCTGAACCCCCAGAGCGTTTATGCCACACAGATTCCATCCCAGGCTGGCCTCCCATTGCTTCGGTTTTAACAGCAATTTGTGAGAAAACCAAAGCTGTGATTCCAAATTAAAAACAAAACAAAAACAAAAAAACAAAGCGTATGCATGAGAATAATTGGGTAAACACACCTTCTTGTGTTATATGGTGGAAAGCAGCAATGTTGAAAGCATTCTTTGTTCTTAAGGTACTTTCCTGCTGCACAGCTTTTGTGCCCTCATGAACTGATGCACAGCTGTCCGCTAGCCACCAGATGCATGCTGTCTCCTGAGTTTTCTTAATCTAGTTGCTTCAGAAGTCAAAATAGTGCCTCTACATGAATACCGTGGAAACCTATTAAGATTAAGGCAATTTCTTTAAAACTTTTGTTTATTTATTCAGTTTGTGAAAAGAGAGAGTTTTCATTGTCACCTCTGCTATCTGAAACATGGGGGAGGAGGGGACTCAAAATCAAACAGACAAAAGCCTGTCTTTGAGTTCATCAGAAAAGAGCTGGGTCTTGACACTTTTTTAAGAACTTGAAGAAAAGAACATTGCAATTTTTCCGTTTCAGATCGCCTTTGTTTTGCCATTCTCTGCAGCAGACCAAAGACTGCATCAAACGAGCATTATTTCAGCATAGATAATGAACTTGAGTATGAGAAGTAAGTACTGCCTTTTAAAAGACTAAAACTTTTAAAATTTGAGGAATCACAGCTGGGTATTGTTTCAAATTCTAGGTAATAAAATAGGTCTTTGAGGATACAAAGAACCTCGGAATAAACACTGAGGTTTGATATTCTAATAGTTTGCTCTGCAGAACTGTGAAATGTAAATATGTAAAGTACCGGTTTTGCTAGTGGAAAATGTATGCAAGACCAATTTTTAATTGAGGTTAGAGTTAATCTACACCTGGTGTGTGTGTGTGTGTGTGTGTGTGTGTGTGTGTGTGTGTGTGTGTGGTAGAGGAGGGCTGATGCATGCTAGATGAGCTCTCCACTACTGAGGTACAAGTGGGTACAAATAAGTAGAATAAGTAGAAGTGGGCTCTAGCCCACTTGTTGCCTATTTAAAAAGGTGTTGTTTACCAGAATATTCCTTCTGTTGGTATTAGTAGGCCAGGACCTTAGAATTGTATAGCCAGTATTAATTTGGGTTTGTGGATGCCTTCTTGCCAGAATTTGATTTTAGGAACATTTACATTCAGAACAGCTAAAATATACATACTTGTTTCTATTTATTTTTTTAAAGCTTCTACGCGGATTTTGGACCACTCAATCTAGCAATGGTTTACAGATATTGTTGCAAGATAAATAAGAAGCTCAAGGTAAATCATCTAACTCAGGTTTGACTGACTGCGCTCCTAGTGTGTCTGAGAAGAACAGAGGAGACCTAGCATTTAAAATACCCAGAGTTTGAAAGAATGCTTACTCTCACAAAACAAAGCAGTCTGAGGCCAGGTGTGCTCAGGTGGGAGACCCCAAGTTCAAGGCAAGCTTTCGATAAACAGCAAGATCTTATCCAGAGAGAGAGAGAGAGAGAAAAGGCCTGCCAAGAAATTGGTGTGTTTTTAGGATGTCTTTAAACATACCAGAAGTTTTGAAGGTGGTGGAATGCACCTGTGATTTCATCAGTCTGGCTCTGGAGGATTGTTGTGTTCATGTGGTATACACACTGACTGTTTGAGACTATATTGTCTGACCTATACTGTAACATTCAAAAGTCTTATTTCTCGTGTGGTATTTAGAAATGTTCTTTGTTTTTACTTTTCTGAGTCTGGAGAAATGGCTCAGCAATCAGAGACCCACATGGAAACTCATGACTGTCTGTCACTCAAGTTTTAGAGGAAGTGACACCTTCTTCCAGCCTGTGTGCATTGGACAAACACATAGTACACATATGTACATGCAAACAAAAACACATTAAAATATTTTCTTCCTAAACTTATACTGCATATGTTTGTTTCCTAGAGGTTCTTCTGGGCTTTGAGGCACAATTACTGTGCAAGCCAGACTGGCCTAAAAGTGTCTGCATATGCTCATGGATACACGCAGCTTGTGTTTTCTAGTTTTAATGGAATAGGTCGTATTTGAGTTCTTTGATTCTGGTTTGTGTTGAGGAAGTTCAAATAGTAAGTCAAAGTAAGAGTCAGTTACTTAATGAAGTCCCTTCCTACCTGACCTGGTGGGAACTGAAGCCAGACAACGGAAAGGCTTCCCTTGCTTTGGCCGTCATTCTTCCTGCTTCCCTTTCAAAGAGAGCTAGCCAATGAGTGGACGAGGAGAGCGGATTCTGAGCTGGAAACTCACATACCAAGTTACTCTTCAACTTGGACCAGAGAGTAAGAGAACCAAGTATCAGCAGTATATCACTGAGTAGTCTTCTGATTGAACGCAAATCCCATTCCTTTATTTAAAAACTTGGAATTACCGATCAGACACTTAAGGAGTACCTAGCTGGGCATGATGGTATGTGCCTTTGATCTCAGTGCTTGGGAGGCAGACGGAGAGGCAGGTAATTTGTTATCAGCCTGATCTACATCGTGAATTTCATGCTAGTCAGAATGACATAGTGAGATCATGCCTTAATTTTTTTTTTAATTTTTTATTAATTACACTTTATTCATTTTGTATCCCCCCATAAGCCCCTCCCTCCTCCCCTCCCAATCCCACCCTCCCTCCCCTTTCTGCATGCATGCCACTCCCCAAGTCCACTGATAGGGGAGGTTCTCCTCTTCTTTCTGATCTTAGTCTATCAGTTCTCATCAAAAGTGGCTGCATTGTCCTCTACTGTGGCCTGATAAGGCTGCTCCCCCCTCAGGGGGAAGTGATCAAAGAGCAGGCCAATCAGATAATGTCAGAGGCAGTCCCTCTTCCCATTACTATGTAACCCACTTGGACACTGAACTGCCATGGGCTACACCTGTGCAGGGGTTCCAGGTCGTCTCCACGAATAGTCCTTGGTTGGAGTATGAGTCTTTGGGAAGTTCCCTGTGTTTATTACGTTCTGCGTGTGCACCTGCAGGCCAGAGGAGGGCATCAGACCTCACTATAGATGGTTGTCAGCCACCATGTAAGGTTGCAGGGAATTGAACTCAGGACCTTTGGAAGAATGGCTAGTGTTCTTAACCCCTGAGCCATCTCTCCAGCCCCCTAACATTTATTTTTGCTTAACAACACCATTACAAGTTTATGAGTAAGGGAGATTTTTTCCCCCTCCTGAGCATCACCTGTTACTACACATTTAGACACAAGTGTAGACTTCTTCCCAGGTCTCCTGAACAGCAACGGAAACACCTGTGGTCCTGTCTTTGGTTCCTTCCTCTTTTCTGCTTGTCAGTGGCAGTGCTTTGTTCTCATGGGGCCAGGAGGCTAACTGGAAGAGAACTACTGTTCTTTTGCCTTAGTTTTTGAAAGGGTGACTCTCTGCATGTGTGCACCTGTGCGAGTGTCCTCACGCCTAGCCTGTTGGAGACTTTTACTCTTGGCATCCACCAGAAATGAGAGACTTGCTGGAGGCACTGAAGAGGTGTTGAATACCAGTCCAGCTGAAGCCTCACTGCCCACATAGCATGTGAGGTTCAGAGCAGTCTGGATGAGGTGTGCTGCCAATGGCTGTCTGGGTTTTGTTTTTGCTTTTAATTGATTTTGGTCTCTTAGTCTATATAAATCACTAAGCAAAACTCTGTGTGCATTGATTGATGGTAGAGACGCTGGAACACTCAGACAAGCAGACAGTGAGATAAGTAGTACTTTCAAACCTACAGAACATAACTCTGTACCAGCCTTACCTGATGCATTTTGTTCACATCAGTGAAGAAGCACTGGGTGATGCTGGTCTTTCTTGTTGACTTCCTGGTGAGGTATGAACTACGTAGAGAAACACACCAGAAGAGGCCTTTCCGCTGCTGTCTCGTTTTTTTATTTCTTTATTATTTATACAGCATTCTGCCTGCATGTGAGCAAGGAGGTCAGAAAAGGGCACTATTATAGATGGTGCCCTTTATGAGCCACCATGTGGCTGCTGGGAATTGAACTCAGGACCTTTGGAAGAACAGCCAGTGCTCTTAACCTCTGAGCCATCTCTCCAGCATCTCAGCTGCTGTCTCATGGATTGTTTTTGTTGTGTATTCTTTTAACTAGTGTCTTTAGGATGTAGAGATTAAGTTTTTCTAAAGGATTTGATTTTATATGCGTGTGGGTTTATCATGCACATATGTCCATGCATGTATGTCTTTGTACCATGAATGTGAAGTGCATGGATATCCTGGAATAGGATAAGCTGCAGTGTGCAGGCTTCGTGTTGAATGCCTTTAATCCCAGGATTTAGGAGGCAGAGACCGCCAGGCCATTGGGATTTCAAGGCCAGCCTCATCTACCTAATGAGTTTAGGATAGCCAGGGCTAATATGAGACCATGTTTCAAGCAAACAGGCATTCTTCAGGCAATCTTCCCAGCTTCATACATCTCCTGTTACAGGAAGCCATGCTTTGTTGTTGATTTTTCACATTGGGACATTTATGACATGATCTTACATCTCAGAAAAAACAGGTCATTCTTGAGTGACAGTGGCCTCCAGTGAGAACATTAGTCCCCACAGGCTCTGGCTTCGTCAGTCTTTGTTCTTAATGTTAAAGTTCTATCCATAGCTTGTTCTTAATGTGAAAAGCTCCATTCATAGCTTTCTGAAATGACCCAAGGATTGGCCTGTCTTTAGGTATATGACGTTAGGTATATATCACACTTCCCATTCTCCCTTTCATTTTAAGTCACTCTGATGTCACAGTTCTCATTTCAGCACATCAGTGTTGTTCTTCTTAGAGGTTTTCACATCTAGATTGTTTATGCGTGTAAGATAGAGAATTTGTCACAAAGTAAAATTTTAGAAAACTTGAAGTGATCAAGAAAATACTAACGACAGTTTGTTTTGATGCAGTCCATTACAATGCTGAGGAAGAAAATTATCCATTTTACTGGCACTGATCAGAGAAAACAAGCGAATGCTGCCTTTCTTGTTGGATGTTATATGGTGAGTGTCACTGCCGCTGAGGGCCCAGCACTGCGCACAGCTGTGCTGCTTCACAGTCAGAGTTGGCATTTGAAACTACTCTTTCCTGAGATGCTGTTTTGGTTTGTTTCCAGAGGGGAATGTTTGTTTGCTTATGAAAACCATTCACCCAGGGAAAGTTATGCTCGTGTTGTGTTGGGAGGGTGTGTGAGTCACTACTCAGTGTTACTGTGAACCTAGGGCTTAAACATGTTTTTTTATTAAAGTTTTTGACAATTACTATGAAAAAGTTGTTATTCAGCTAGGTAAGGTGGTACCCGCCTATTAACCCAGCACTCAGGGAAGCAGAGGCAGTCGGATCTCTGTGTGTTCAAGGCCAACCTGGTCTACAAAAGTAAGTCCAGGACACCCAAGGCTGCACAGAGAAACCCTGTCTTTTTTTTTTTTTTTTTTAAGAATTTGCAGGAAAAAAAAATCATGCAGCGAAATTAGCTATTTTTAAAGAGTGAGTGTGTGTGTGTGTGTGAGAGAGAGAGAGAGAGTGAGAGAGACAGACAGAGCACAAGAGAGAACACACACGTGCTTTGGCACACGTGTGTGGGTCAGAAGACATCTCTCTGGAGTCGGCTCTCGCCTGCTACCAGGCAGGTCATAATGCTTGGTGGCAAAGACCTTTATCTGCTGAGCAGCTTCACTGGCTCATGATTTTCAGGATCCATGACTAATGACAACCTGGAGAATCAGTTGTTGGTGTGACAGCAAAACTTCCAAGCTGATTGTGAGGTCTTCTCTACAGATTGTCCAAGAGAAAGTCTGCATGGCCAGGACAGTTGTATCTCAGGGACAGGGTCCATATATACATGAATTCTCAGCCAGGCTTGCTTCTGGATTGGTCACTTTTCCCCTGTCCGGTGAAGCTCTAGTGGCCACATTGTGTGGTGCCAGCTGCTGCAGCTTCAGGGTAGAGAACGTCTCAGAAAATGGTTAGGGTATTGTGTAATCACAGGGTTAAAACCAGAAAGAAAGCACTGGATAATTTTTTAAGTATGCAGTTGTTCTTGCTGTGGATTTATTTTATTTTTTCAAGACTGGGTTTCTCTGTGTAATAACCCTGACTGTCCTGGGCTTCATTTGTAGACCAGTCTGGCCTTGAACTCAGAGAGGTACGTCTGCCTCTGCCTCAGCCTCCTGAGTGCTTGGGATTAAAGGCTGCACCACTGCCACCGCCTGCTCATTCTTACTGTCTTTGTTTGGTTCTGTGGAATAAACTCGGCCTCCAGCTTCTAGTCAGGTATTGTAACTTCAAGCTGTATACCTAGCCCATGGCTGGTGTTTCCTAACAGTGAGAAAGATGTGTCTTGATGTGTCTGATCCCACTTTGATGCACCTTTGACTTTGTTAATGGTTGTATTTGGGCACACAGAAGTTTAGTTTTGTTTTTGTGTTTTCATAGGTAATATATCTGGATTCAGATTTATTTTGAGAGGTTTGTCTTTGCATATCAATTCTGATTCCTTGTTGAGAATTTGCCAGGTGTACTGGCTGGTTTTGTGTGTCCATTTGACACAAGCTAGAGTCATCAGAGAGGAAGGAGCCTCAGTTGAGGAAATGCCTCATTAAGATCCAGCTGTAAGCCATTTTATCAATTAGTGATCAGTGGAGGAGAACCCAGACCCTTGTGGCTCAAGCCATCCCTGGGCTGGTAGTCCTCAATCCTCAGAAAGCAGGTTGAGCAAGCCATGTAAAGCAACCCAGTAAGCAGCCATCCACCCCACATAGTCTTTGCATCAGCTTCTGCTTCCAGATTCCTGTTCCTTGAGTTCACTGATAAATACTGCCAAATATACCTCTTCTCCCAAGCTTGCTTTTTTTCGTCATGTTGTTTTTGACACAGCAATAGAAACCCTAAGTAAAACACCAGGGCAAGCTGGGTAGATTTGGATATCCACCGGGAGAAGCCAGTCTGTGGGAAGATTGAAGTGTGTGGCTATGAAGGGTGTCTTTCAGGCCACGATGGGAGGATTAATGGGGGATTTTGGAGTGGTTCTGATGCTTGGTGGGGTAGCAGGAGAAAGGCTTCCAATAAAAGAAAGTTATTAATAATAGGAAAGAGTGTTGACATAAAGACACTTAAAAAGATAAAACACCTAAGTGAGCAAGGCTTCTTTTGTTTGAAGTCATTAGTTTTCTGGCTAAAGTCTTGTAGAGATGACTGCTAACCCCTGTGAACTGAAGTCTTGATAACTTTTTCTGGAGCTGTGAAAAGTTCAGAGCTAGTAAAGCTTGAGCAGTAGTGCTGAAACAAACCAAATGTATGGAAATATTTTTCAATTCAGTGGTAGGTTGAACACTTGACCTAGCATTCAAGGAGCTCTGAATACCAACTCCAGCATTGTAGTGGAAAGAGAGAGAGAGAGAGAGAGAGAGAGAGACAGAGAGAGAGAGAGAAACAGAGCAAAGAGGGGCTGAGGAGATAGAGCAGTAGGTTGAAGTGCTTGCTGTGCATGGCTGAGGCTCTGCATTCGTGTCTTCAGCACCCATGTGAAAAGATGGAGCACAACTACATGGGCCTGTAGCCCTAGCTCTGAGGAGTGGGGACAAGTGAGCTTCCAGTTCAGTGAGAGACCTTGGCTCAAGGGAGTGAGTTAGAGAGCAGTAAAGGAAGGCACCTGATGTCTTCCTCTGGCCTCTGCATATATGTGGGCAGATGTGTGCCCACACACTCATGCTCACTTAACTCATACACACATTTGTGTACATATACACACATATGTGCACATATATTTGCATACATACAGTTCACATGCACACACATACATATAAACATATATACGCACATTTACACATAGCAGTACTTCCATTTAACTATTTATTTGCTTGCTTATCTATCTATCTATCTATCTATCTATCTATCTATCTATCTATCTATCTTTTTAAAAAAGCCTTCATCCTTCCAAGACGCTTTGGTCAGCTAGAAGCCAAATTTCTTAAGGAAAAGGTAAAGTGAATAGCATTTGCTATTTGTGCAAATACATATTTTGTACATGGGTACTTGCCTGCCTACCGGTATGTATGTACTCCATATATATGCGCTGTACCTTCAGAAGTCAGTAGAGGGTGTCAGACCCCCTGGAGCTGGAGTTACAGGTGGTTGTGAGCTGCCTATTATATGGGTGCTGGGACTTGAACTTGGGTTCTTTGGAAGAGCAGCAAACTTTCTTAAACACTGAGCCATCCTTCCAGGCCCCATTTTTTGTTTTGCTTTTTTCTTTTAATTTGGGATTCAACCTAGGCCTTAATGCATGCTGTTTGGGTGCTCTACCATTGAACTACATTTATGTATCTTATTTGTGTGCTTGTGCGTATCATGCTACATGTTTGGCAGTCAGAGGACAACTTGCAGAAACCGTCCATCACCTTCTTCCCCCGCTTGCCCCAGCCTTGGTGGCAAGCTATCTTGCTGTCTTGAAGTCTGCCTTTTAAATTAAAAAACAGTACCATTATGTCTTACTGGTTATTATCTGTGGTTACATTCTCCTGTTAAGCTTTTCTACAGGCTTCATCACCCCTTCCTCAGGTTCCACATACTCCGAGGGCAGGACTTCTAACATTTTTCTCTGTAAGAAATAAACACAAAGCCTCCAAGGTAGACTCCATGACACAGCAGACTGTGCGCAGTGTAGCTTGCATGTTTGCTCTCCTCCATGGTCAGTACTTTACTATGGGAGAACTAATTGTAGGTTTCCTGGTAAGCATTTATAACTATTTTTTTAAAGCAGTTTTTATAGACCTTAGAATGGCTTACCTTGTAAGCATTCATATGGAAAACTATGGTACTAATTACTTCTGAGAATATATTAGCTCAGCAGTCTGTGTAGAATCCCACAGTCCGAGATTGCCTTAGCAATCAAGCTGAGAACCTTAGGACTTTATTTGATGGTGAACTTTTGGACCTCTGGTTCACTTTTTAAGGGAATTCATTGTTTTGGACTTTGAGTCAGGGCAAAGCAACTGGACAGGGCAGTACGCTGAGGTATCTGGAGGCTGAGGGTCAGATTGCATTCAGTGCTGATGGTGCAATGGAGACCATAGGGTAAAGCCAGGCGGAATGGTTATGGGCTCTGTAAATACTCTCCTGGGTAAACCTCTGTCCTGGGTGTTCTGAAAGGCAGAGAGCACAACCAGGCTATGTAAACATAGCAGCTAGGCCCACAGGCAGAAGACATAGGTACAACATTTCAGTGGCTCCAGGCTGGAGGCAGTTACTGCTCCCAGCTTGTCAGGCTTATTTCTGGTTCTCTCCAGTAAGTACCGCAGACACTGTGGTCCCTGGCATGTTGGCTGAGTGCTGTTACCTTTGACTCTTTCACCATGCCTGATTTTTGTTTGCAGATATGCTTATCTGCAGATTTGCTGTTATCTTCATTTTAGTCCTGGTTTTACACAGGATGGTTTCTTGTCTATAAACAAGGGCAGAGCAGTGGCCTCCTTTGGAGAAGATCAGACGACAAGGATTATGTAACCCACGGAGTATTTTTAAATGATTGTAGCCCTCCACCCCCATCCCATGTTTTAAAATTGAGATCATGGGCCAAGGGATATAGTTCAATTGGAGAGTGCTTGGCTAGCTTGCAGCAAGCCTTGGGTTTGATTTCAAATACTGAATAACCCTGATGTGACATACATGCTTATAATCCTTAACACTTGGGAGCTGGAGGCAGGAGGATGGAGAGTTCAGCTTAGGCTACATGTGACTATATGTTGAAAAACAAAACAACAACGAAGTTCAAAATGGGCTGGGCATGGTGGCACAAGCCTTTAACTCCAGTGCTGGGGAGGCTGGGGCAGGGCAATTTTTTCTAGTTTGAGTCTAGCTTGGTCTACATAGCAAGTTTCAGGTAAGCCAGGGTGAGATTCTGCCTCTAAAAACAACAACAAAGCCAAGATGACTAAAAAATTTTTATACATGTATGAAATTATTGAAAAAAAAAATGGGAAAAGAATTAAGAGTTTTTCTTTTT